ATAAGTTGTTCGGGTGTTTTCATCTAAAAAAAGGGACATAATTTCTTGACGACCTAACATTTGCCACATTGTATGTTAGAAGTTTAGTTGCGTGGGGTGAGGGAAAGTAAACAATCTTTCCTATAAGTCCTTCATAATATTATATGGAATATTTGCCTCGTAAGAATGTGTAAACGGACTACAGACCTCCGAGGTCTGTTTCTTTCTCAGTACTCTTGGAAATTGGGTTGTTTGTTTAAAAAAAATTACTTAAGATAAAGGTGAAGAAGGCTGAATGAAAGTTGATTTCCTCGTTAAAATGTTTAGGTAGCCAGCGCATATTTTTACTTCTTGTATTTTGAATGGCCACTTTGTTATTTATTGTAAAAAATCTTAAGATTATCTTTCTACATATCTCTGATTCTGAGATTTCTTACACCAAGTTAAAGTTGCTTTATTTACAAAATCTGTAATCGACTTTGTTTGATCAGAAATGTGTTATATTATCACATAACGTTGTGATTCGTTAAATTGCAAGTCTTTTGTAATGCTGAGTTAGTCTTATTACGGCCTCCCAGTGGCACAGCGGTATGTCTGCGGATTGTGTAGCTTTGAGCTTAATTACAAACAAACAATAGTCTCATTACGAGTACCAACCTGACTAAAACTTGTCTATCCAGAATCATTCATTCAGTCCGTTTGCGGTTTAATTACTTGTGTTCTGAGAGTTTAATTACCTGGTCAGAATACCACATCTTTGCACACTGAATATTTTGCCAAATACTCTGATTGGACCATGTAACATACTGATTGGACCATGTAACATACTGATTGGACCATGTAACATACTGATTGGACCATGTAACATACTGACTGGACCATGTAACATACTCAAAGTATTCGATGACGAGGAACCCACTTTGAGACTAATAATGGCTGGAGACGGCTTGAATAGGTAAGTAGAAGTAAAACTTAACTATAATAACAAGTAAATAGTACAACGTTACGTACAAGTTTAGTCTATCATCAGGTACATTACTTCTACTTACCTA